TTTCCATGTTTCTTTTCTTTTTTCCTTTCACTTTTTTTTTTTTGTTTTTTGTTTTGTTTTGTTTAATTCTTGTTTTCTCAAATACTCTCCTTCTTCATGTTCAGTTGGCCAGGACCACAGGCTGGAACGACTGGCTGGGATACTGCATGGCATTCAGGTTGTAGCTGAGTCCTTCCACGAAGGGCGACTTCTCCAGGAAGAGGCTGTTGGTGCTGCCACCAAAGACCTGAGGCATGTCAAAGCTGCTGCTGCCGCTGGTGCTGGCACTGAACTGGGATGCTTGGTTTTCACTGGCGACCCCATCAAAGAAAAGGCTGCTGGCTCCAGGGGACCCGCCACTGTAAACAAACTCCTTGGCATTGGGGGAGAGCTGCGACTGGGATGCTTGACTCCCGCTGCTCCCGACGAAGTTCAGAGAATGCATAGAGAGGGAGAGGCCCTTGTGCTTCAGCAGGTTGTTGGTGGGTGACCTGGCCATCCTTTGCTGCTGTTGAGCTCCTGCTCCCCCTCCACCTCCCCCAGCTCCTCCGCCCTTCTTCATCTTGGTAGAGCCAAACTTTGTGGCAGCGAAGGTGGCAGTGGTGAAGATGATGGGCTGGGCAGAGCGGGGGATGAAGGTAGGGCTGGGCGACTGGCCAAAGGATGGGGAAGGAGAGTTGGACAGGGAGTTATCCTGGCTACCAATGGGAACAAACACCTGGGCATCTGGGTTGAAGCTGCTCTTGATTTCTTTGTCCAGCTCAGCTGCGCTGCAGCCCTCGCTGTCATCCAGATACAGGACCTTGATGGACCCCTTCTCACCAATCTGGTAAGAAACCTCAAAAGGGTCAATCCAGACGCTCAGTTCTTCAGGCACATTGGCCCGCACATCCTCCACGGCCAGTCCGCTCCTCTTGGCTGCCAGCTCCACCACTGGGTCAACTGTCTCCCCAATGTGGACACAGCGGTAGCCAGAACCCTTCAACGGCTTTTCTGGGTACCAGTGGCCCTCATATTTCTTTTTCAGCAGGCGCTCTAGTTCTTCACCAAACAGGTCTGCCCGCCTCCGCGGAAGCTTGTTGTACAGGTACGAGATGATGAAGTTCAGAGCAACTTTGATCTCCAGATGCATACTCCCTTCACAGCAAGCAAGTTAGGGCAATGTATTAAAAGGTACAAATGACACACACACAGACAAGATTAGGATCCCAACAATCCTAGGAGAGAAGAGAAAGAAGGATGATTATCAGGAAGAGAACATGACAACTTGAATATTCTTGACGTAAACAGCTTAGTGAGTTTTATTAAAGGATTAGACATGTACACAAACAACATATGAAGTGACCCTGTGTAGATTAAAAGTTGCACAAAGGCTGTCAGGCCTCATGCTATGTGGCACAAAGAAATTGCTCAACAGGATCAGGAAAAAAATTGGCCCAACCAAATGAACAGAGAGTGTGCCTAGCTATACCGAATGGAGGCATGTGCACATGACACCTTCCACTCAAGTTAACAGTGACCAGCAGTGGACCCCAGATAGGAGGCAGCATGGACCAACTGCCTGCTCTGGTAGAGTGGCTCGTACACATTAAGTACACCTCAATATGCTTCTGATCTCATTTGCGTCTTTTCAGCTTCTGTACCCCAACCCTCAGGGGAGGGAGGAGAATAAAAATAAAAAGTTTATTTTGGGCAGTCTAGTCTTTCAGCCTTAAGTGGAGATCCACCCCCAAGCTCTGTGTGGCTATGGTAGCCTCCTTTCTGAGAGCAGCCATTTCACACCTTTCAGTGGGGCTGAAGTAAAAGGGGATCTATATTCACAGTCTGCACTGAAGCAAGGATGATTGGAGGGGGTGGGGTGGGGTGGGGTGTGCCATGGGGATGAGGCACCAACTG